TTACTTGCCAAGTAGCATGTAAGCATCATCTATTGAAATAATGAGTGACACCATAATTCATTCTTGACAAGTGTACATCTACCAACGCTGTGATCAATCAAACATAGCACAGAGAACATTAATCCTCAATAAAAAAAGAACATGTCTGAAAACTTTATTCCAACATTTTTAGCAACTGTGCAAAATTGAGCAGCAATTTTGCCACTGAGTTTCACTTGTTGAGCTTTATGAAGCTGTCTGAACAAGCAACAATATTTCTTATTAAACACGCCTATTAAAATTATACTTTTTAAAAAGTTGTATCAGAACTCTTCAGCACAAAATTCAGCATGAGATAAATGACATGTAAGAGACCCAACAGAGGCCGTATGCATTCATCTTAAATTACACATTAATCAATAATCTGAAATGTAACACATGGTTTGATACTTCATAGCTCTGGGTGTTGCACTAGTGCACAAGTACCAGCAACATGCCGTAAGTACATGTACCACCAGTGCAACGTTAGCAGTGCAACAAATAGACCTTCGTTTATTTTTACTCGCTGCAAATCATTTCTCTGTCATAAACCGAGGAAATGCTGCCTTGACATGGCACTGCGGTCATGTCAGCCCAGGACTCTCTTACCTTGTTCGCATTGAAAGAACAAGCTCTGTCTTGTTAAGTCCTTTCACATCACACTGGATACAGTCCTTGGGTTATGCCAAAATGCATTGCTTGCATCAAGCAATTTTTTTTCCCATGTACTGAGCTCTGCTATAACTCTGCCAGGGCAGAAAAATACTCCCTACCAAGTAAACAAGCTCTTATGAGGCAAAATAAGCTTGTTTATGACGTTATGCTACTATATTGCATAGAGATGTCCCATTATCCGTCAGTGGATGTATTCTTTGGGTGAATTCTGTTTGCATAAAAGTCAATGTAGAGACAGTTGTTACGCTCACAGAATGCTTCATTAGTGCAGCAATTCTATCTAAATGTAGGTATAGCATGTCTATATTCTATATATTATTTTACATTATATTTAGAATTCCTAATTGCACTTCCCAAACTTTTTGAAAGGTTTGTTGGAGTTTTTTTTTTCCCTTGTTTGACCAAGGAAAGAATTGCCAGTTTCAGTTTCCTTATTTTTTTATTGGCTGTTATTCTCCTAATTGCATTGACTCAACAAATTAAAGTTGTGTGTGGTTTTTTTAAATCATGTTTACTCAAGCTTATGAAGGCATTGATGTATTTAATTGTGCTGTACTGGTGCAGAATTGTCAAATAAATCTGTATTTCAGTAATTTATGTATGTGCTTAAAAAAAATAAACAGTTTAAGTAAATTCAGCTTTTTTTTGTAACCAATACAGATATCTGGATAATTAACACAAGTTAAAAAAAAAAGTCAATCCCTTTTAAACACAGATGTGTTTGTGAGTGACTCTTTTCCATGTAGTATTTCAGACAAAGTGCATTGAAAAATTATTGAATTCTTTCACATTTCTTTTATGGATTTTTTAAAAATGTCTTTTTTTTGTGACTGGCAAAAACATAATTTTTCCTGTTTGAAATTGTGAAACATTTGGCACTGGAAAGCTGATATCTCCGGACCCTGTGCAAATAAACAACTTTTTTCCCTCTCTACCTGACATTAAACAATGACAAACTTTTCCTCTTCTAGGTCAGTTAGAATTACAAAAATATTTTAAAAAATGTTTTTGCTAAATGAGAAAGATAATTTTGGAAAATTTAACCCTAGTAGTTGAAGGTTTACAAGTATTTCCATTGTTGTAGCAGAAGTGACTTTTAAACCAATTCTCGGTACCCTTTAATAAGCTTCTCACACTAATTTGCTGGAGTTTTCGCCGATTCCACAACTACTGTCACTGAACTAGGTTTGTAAGTACCTTTCTCTCACACACACACACCTCTTAATCTCCGTCTATATTGTACTGAACTAAGATCAGAACTTTATGATTGTCTTTTGATGCATATTTTAACGTTGATATGAATCGTTGTTCATTTGGAAGACCCATTGTGCCCAAGATTTAAATTCCTTTCATTCTTCAACAGAGCCATAAGAATTATGAATAAAATTAATTAATCACAAAGAAAAGACAAGTTATTTTTTGCTATATTCAAATTTAAGAACAAGTAAGCCTTAGGATTTGACAGACTTTCAAGGACCCCAAAATATGTAGGGAGTAAATTGATTGTACAAGTGAAAGTTCAATTTATCCACAGTAGAACCTATTTTTTAGTGTAATAAAGATAATGTTTCACAGAAGGATGCCGTGAAAGCTCAGGCGTTATGCACGAAATCATCCAGGTTTATTAGTTATTTGATTTAAAAGTTCAACGTTGTGTGTGTGTTACCTTGCAATTTGTAAAGCCAAAAATACTTAGAAAAAATTTAAATTTGCCTTTAATACAACTTTTTAAATATAACACAGAGCACCAAATGTACATTTGAATCATATTTACTTTGTCTCGCAAGCATATTTATGGTTGAAACATTTGAAGGGAGTCTTCCTGCAGTCTCCTGAAGATCTATCAGGGGAGGAAACACACTGAAGTCAGAAAAAGCAACAAGATCCTCGGATTCGCACATCAAAAAACCCGTTTCTGACTTCTTCGCAGCCTCTACGACGGCAACGCAGAACATCTCAGCTGTCAGCGATCCACCCAGACACACAGACCGGTCCAACATCTTTCTCTGTGTGTGAGGCTGAGTCTAATCTGCAACAACCTGGTTAGAAAGAAGCAACAACAACAACTGTGCATGACTGTAGAAGTGTTTTACCCCCCTTTTCCTCTTGTCAGGGAAAACAGAATTAGACCAAAGGGCTTTTATGTACTCTGCTCCCTCAGCCGATGGGGGGGAAACACACAACCAAAAGAGCACAGTTTCTCTGCATGAGGTTAAAATGATTACAGAGCACGTCAGGGCAGATTCTCTGAGAAACAAATTATTCTTTTTGTTGCAGTGGATGGTTTTGCTGGCCTTTTACCGCTCGCTCCATCACCTGCCGCTTAGCCTCCTTACCTGCAGTTGACTTTAACATGCAACCTCCTTTTGGTGTCTCATGAAAATCATTGTCGCATTTCAAACATTACATTTGGCCATGGGGATGTACGGTTGCTTATCAAAGCTCACCTGTGATTGGTGAATTTCTTGCCATGCAGTCAGACGTGGATCTGCCAACCAGATGGTAATATCTAATGGCATCCCAATGGACCTCTTATTGCTGTCATGCCAAGTTAATCCTGCCCTACAAACAAAACATGGCAGCAGCTTCAGCTTTACTCAAAGCGGCACTGCCTACCAAAAGCCAAAGGTTCTTTTCTTAGAAATGTTGGCAGACGATTACATTAAGATCAGTCAAATAAAGCATTTTTTTTTTTTAGCTCCAACAATATGCACACTCGACAGTCCGCCAACACGTGAAAGACGTCCTGTTTCCAGTTCAGTCGGAGAGCAGAATTTCGTTCTGGAAACTGTACCCGATACAAGCAGATTTTGTTTTGCGAAACATGCGGCCCGGGCGCGGAGCTTTTGAAAGGGGCCAGAAAGGCAAACGGGCAACAAAAATAAAAAGGGACACAAAAGGGTAACAAAGAAACTGGAAACGCACGTGGAAACCGGACCAGTGTACGCAGGAAAGGAGGACAGACAAAGTGATAGCTGACAAGGTCGTAAGCTGGCCTGCATGTGCAGAAGATGAAGAGCCGTACGTGAAATGACAGGCGAAAGAGGAAAATGCTGGAAGAGCAGCAAAAGAGGAACATGAAAACTAAAGACGCAGTAGTGATCGGGACGACAGAGATGGTGCAAACTGTTCAGGTCGGCAGCCGATATTTTCTTTACATCTGGTCAGATTTGCTCCTCGAATCAGATTTATTTTTTTTAAATATATATTTTCACTATTGAGATCCACCCTTTGTTTCTACAGCAGATCAACAGTTTTCCTGTTGCGGTGAATTGTTTCTCTTCCATTCAGTAGCATTTTCACAAGAGTGATTGACAACGCCAAGACCCACCTTCTGGCTTTGATTGGTTGTCTCTGAAGAGATGCATTGGAAAGTCTGGTCTTTTCACAGATTATCTGTCTCATATCATACTGTCACGACACGTAAAAACATACTTTTTCTATATACTGAAGCTTCACATTGATGTAATTTGGCAGGAGAGTGTCTTCATGTTCTGCATGTCAGTGCGCTTATTCCAGCTGCTACATGACAGACAGAAAGCCCTGTAGAGGACAGTGAGAGGAGCTGAAGGGGTCATCAGGATGACCTTGCTCTCTGCCCGGGATCTGTGCCAGAGCGGCTGCAGGGACAGAGCTCTGAACATTGCTGGAGACTCCTCTCCTGCTCTCCATGAACTTTTTAGCTAAACGACACCGCAGGATTAAAAGCAGAACCACCAGACAGCCACTCTGCTTTCTGCCCGAAGCTGTTAAGAGCAGAGCTGCTGTTGAGACGATGCACTTTATGTTGTTACACTCCCTTTAAGTATTTCACAAAAATAAATAAATAAATCTGCTGGATAATTTTCACATTAATCCGTTTGTCCGCTTGTAATTAGCTATCTGGAGAAATGTGAATAAATGAACTTGTTTTGATCGTACAACGTAAATCTTTTTAGGACTATTTTCCTCTGTGGCAAGAACAAACGAAGCAAAACACCTTATTTTTTTAAATGACTATAATAGTGTAACAGTAGAGCGATTTATTAAAACTGAATCTGTAAAAATAAAAGTGTGTATATGCCCCTGAACATTCTTTTTTTAATTTTACTTTTTTCAGAAATATGACAATAAATGTCATTATCTTTGACGTAGAGTCCATTGTTGCACCTGCTGTCGTGTCTGAGAGAGGAGAACCCTCACACATTTGGTCTTTTCCCAGCATTGTGAAGGCCTCAGGCTTATGGGGCCCAACCACCTCAACTGATTCCCCTTGATCATCAGTCGACTCTTATTGATGCGAAGGAGCAGTCACTTTATTTTGAGCAGAATCAATTTATTCCAGAACAAGCTACTTTCAGCCTCTTCTGTCCTGAGTCGGATTATTTTATTCAAGATGGACCATGTTATTTGTGGGTAGAATTTTGAGGAAAGATATTAATTTAATACAATTTGGAATACGTCTGTAACATAAGATGTGGAAAAAGTGAAGCATTGTGAATACTTTCCAGAAGCATTGCGTGTTTTGGCCCTTCTCTTTCCTCTACAACAGACACAGCCCCCAGTCCCTCTATCCCAAGTCCTTCCCATGACGGCATTACTCAGGAACAAGACGCCTAGAAGCTGGAATGACTGACTCCCTGTGAAAATGGAGTCTCCATCTTTTCCAATTAAGAGCCATGTCCTCAGAGTTAGAGGTGCTGACTCATAACTTGGTCACTTCACACTAGGCAGCAAAATGCTCAAGCACATGCTGAAAGTAAGTGAAATGAAACCATAAGATTCCCACATCAGACACTTGTTCTGCAGAGACAGAAAGAGAGAGAGAGAGAAAGGGGTGAGAAGCTAGAAGCTAATAAAGAAACTAGAACCTAATAAAGAAGCTCGAAACTAATAAAGAAGCTGGAAGTTAATAAAGGAGCTAACTAGTAAAGAAGCTAGAGAAGCTAGAAGTTAATAAAGAAGATAGAAGTTAATAAAGAAGATAGAAGCTAATAAAGAAGATAGAAGCTAATAAAGAAGCTAGAAGCTAGTAAAGAAGCCAGTAAAGAAGCTAGAAGTTAATGAAGAAGCTAGAAGCTACTATAAAAGCTAGAAGAAGCTAGAAGCTACTACAAAGCTGGAAGCTAATACAGAACCTAGAAGCTAGTAACAAAGCTAGAAGTTAATAAAGAAGCTAGAAGTAAAAAAAAAGCTCACTAATAATTAAGTTAGATGCTAGTAAAGAAGCTAGAAGCTGATAAATAATTTGCTATCTGATGTCTCCATACTTTAGCTTTTCAAAAGGTGAATTTGGTACAAAAACAACACTGCACATTATCAAAAGAACATTGTACAAAAATATATATAAAAAACAAAACTATCTCCTAATGTGTAACTGTCTGAAATGTTGCAGATTTTAAAACTCTTTTTAAGGAATGTTGAGTAACCTGATGTATTCAAGGCATGACTTTCACTCCTTAGTATTTACACCTTGTCGAGAAGAGGTGGGATGGGACGGTTAAAGCTGTGCCAAATCTGATTAGGCAGTGAAGGAGTGAACACAGGAGAACATGAAAATCTGCAAAGGATGCATGCTATTTGGAAGCACATACCAAACTGGGATATTGTTTTGGTTAGTGTAAACAAGCCACGGTTAGCAAAAGGTCTATGAAAAGGAAGCCTAATTTAAAGTCTTGCTGTTGGAATCTACCTGTAAACGAGCTGACATTTCTGTACAGCCACATTAACACTGGAGGCTTGTAGAAAGTTATTTTTGATGATAATCATTAAAAAACAAAAAAAAACTGTGTCTGCCAGGATAATCATGTTGTAAAAGCTGTAAAAGAATAAAAGACAGATACAACAAGCATACATCATTGCACATGTACTACTTACACTTCAGTTATTTCCATTGAACAATTATGCCATATCCCAAAGTGTACACAGCTACAACACAGCTAAATTATGCACTAAATGCATCAAGCTTTCTAGTGAGATGTGGGATAAAGTGGAACCAAGTCACATCCACCCGCCAACACACACCACACACACACATCCATATGCACTACATTGCATCTTTTGTTTTCATTGTGTTCCTTGTATCTTTTAAATAATAGAAAAGCCAGGAGACTCGCCAAAGTCTCAGATTTACTTTCAGCACTTGGATACAACGCTCACACTTTCTTCATTCGATCAAAACTTGAGCTGCTGGCACCGAGCCGGCATTGTACGCTCAAATGTTTTCCTTTTCTTTTTTCATGTTGGTATTTCAAGCTCACTCCTTTCCTGCTGTTCTCCAGCAACGCACTGGAGCAACGCACTCCTCGTAAGCGGAGGGAAACATCTCGTCTGTTACACCAACCGGGAACTGAAAGTTATGCTTTTCTTTTCTCAAATTAGAAAGTATGATGTCAAAAAAAAAATCTCCTAGCTTATCAAGAGTTATATTTATTTCATACATTCACCTTAAAAGTGAAGCATAATTTGTGCTAATAGTGTGTGCATCATTGTTTTTTGTTGGAATCGTTTGTGGGAAAATAACTCAAAACAGCAGATTGTTGTCAAACTGAAGAAAAAGGATTCATGTTTTTAATTTTCTCAAAAATATTTTACATTAAAAAGATGTGTGAATATGTAGTCATATCTAATTTATTGAAGAATGTCAAGCGGAAAGCTATTATTGAGAGAAAGCCTTAAGAAGTCCGATTTGAGGCAAGCAGGTTCAGAAAAACTCAACATTTTGTATGTGCGTAAGAAAAATAACATCATCACTTCAGAATGGCATTCACTAACCCAGTATGAATATCACTTTTCTCAGTTTAGTTTGCATTTTCCCAGAATCCCCTGCTCCTCACATGAATCGACACATGTTCTGATCTGATTGGTCAGTTTGAAAGCATTCCGGTTACCCTAGTGAGATTAACGTTTACTGCTAAATAACGCTCTGTTAATGTAAAATATACGACTGGTTTGCTTATATAACAGATGACCCACTGAATGTAATGCTTCATCATTTCCTACTGCTCTTCTCTGACCAACCTGAGCAGAAAAGCTGCTTGCCTCTGTTTAGCTCGGCGTGACCTTGAGGCGCTGCGGCCCCTGCAAACGCTCCAAACTGTGACTCTGTGGTGTCCTCATTTGAGCTAAAGCCAGACACGTGTTCCACCAGACCGAGCCTTCTGCTGCTCTCCCACCCCGGGCAAGCCATTTGTTTCTCTTCTCACACAAGCTCGTATCTTACATCGCCGCTTTTTCCCACACTGATCAAATTCAACACCGCAATATTTTGACTGCAACCCACAGCTCAGATGTTCGGCTTTTCAGATACCAGATGGACACGCTGGACTCTGTTGCAGGGAAGAGGAGCGAAGTTCCCCCCTCCGCTTACTCAGAAACGTTAGTCAGAGGTAAACATTTACAGTTTCAGGTCAGGGAATTTAGCTCTGCCGTCAGGGCTGCGGCCAGTGGGCCTGTCTCACTCGTGTTTCGGAAGTTTTTACTCTTCTGTGACATAAGCGAAAGACACAAAACTTTTACGCAACTCAAAGGAAACGTTTTCAAACCCACTGAAAGTTCCACCATCTGTCACACTGATGTGATTAAGATCTGCTTTGGTCTAAGACGACATTTTTTTCCTCTTTCTCAGAATCAGTTCAACTTTCAAGATCAGTCAGTTACAATAATATATTTTTTTACAGGACGTGAGGGTGAAACTCCTACACCCTTCGTTGGCTGCATTCAAATGCAACCAATGAAGATTTTTACTTTAAACCTGTCAACAGCGCTGACATGTTTGCATTTTCCCAGAATCCCCTGCTCCTCACATGAATCGACCCACATGAATCCTCATCCTCAGCGGTGTGCCATCACCGCTGAGGATGAGGAAAAAAATAAAGAACACCATGTATGAATGCAGACATGTTGTCCAAACCTGCCGTTACGCAGTTTGCTCATTCAAAAAACAAATAAGATGTCTGCAAATCAGATCATATGCCTGCAAAGCCGCCACCCAGCTCCTTCAGACTAGCCAGCAGCAATTAGCAAACACCTGGCGGAACTGTGGATCTGCTAAGCTCACAATAAGAACTACTTCTCAGTGTAATGCTGGTGAAAACATTGCTAAAGGGCTAGTAGAGGAGCATACTGTAA